GTTTGAATTCGCGCGCTTTTACTCACCGGGCGGCCTAGAAAAAACCTCGTCCCTAAGGGCTTTCAGCGTATTTTTCGATGCGTTTTTCTCGATGAAGGAATTTTTTTTCGAATTTTTTCTTCATTTTTAAGTCAATCTACATGCATTTCTGCACATTTTGATGCAATACACCACCTTTAAAGGCACATAACTTACTTCAATTTTTAGTTAGATGAACAAACTTTACACTAGGTTGTAGGAAATTTCATGAGCTTTCAATGTATATACAACGCTTTGCAAAAAAAAAAATCACGAATCAGGCTTAAAATACCGGTCCAAATATGCCTCTATACCCTATTGAAGATGTACCTCGCGCGTTTGTAGCTCAAAACTTTAAAGACGCATAACTTACTTCAATTTTCTGCTGGATAAACAATCTTAAAACTAGTTTGTAGGAAATATCATGAGCTTTTAAACAATATAAAATAATACTGAAGAAAATTCAAGAGTCATGTTAAATTTCAATGTTTTCCAGTGCTACCCTCCCGACTCATGGTACATGACCGACTTGGACCACCTGACCCATCGTGTGCTTCGACGCCTTCAGGACTTGTCGCCTCTGCGTCAGACGCTTGAAGAAGAGGAAGGAGAGGCAGAAGCAGCTGGAAGTTCCGGAATCGATTGGACCCTTTGCCCAGATAAACAGGTTGAGGAGATCTCCTCAAGTACTGCCGATTAATTTAAATTATCTTTTTCTTCTTCAATTTTTTTTTGTATGTAAAATTGTGTCCCCACTCGACGTGATGATATCCCAGTTTTTTTTATTTGTTTCTTATCTTAACTACAGTATTCTGCCAAACATTTTGTTTCACTTCTAGACTTTAGACAATTTTGGTTGTGCCAATAAATGCTCTGCAATTGTGCTCAAATTCATTTTAGACCCCTTTTACAAAAACTTAGTCCAGAGCCATGCTGGACGTCTGAAAATGTTTTTAATAGATTGGAAATAGAACTTTACATAATGTACAAAAAAGCAAAAAGGTTAAAAAAAGCTTCTTCCGTTGCGGGGAATCGAACCCCGGCCTTATGGGTGAGATCACTCGGTGGAAAATCATCGGATAGCATTGAAAAATAGCTGGGTAAATAGGAAATTTAATCTTGCGTTGGATAAACTCGGCTGCGGCTGTCGTCTTTTGGGCGAAAGTTAAGGCTTTGCCGTCTTTTGAGCGAACTATGAGCACCTTTTGGGCGAATTGTTCGATTTTATAAGCGTTCGAATTCGTCGTACCCCCGCGTAATCTGGCCAAACAACGCCCAATAGATGGCCAACCTTTGCCCAAAAGACGACAGCCGCAGCCGAGAAGTGTAGAAATTCTGAAATACTATAATTTTAAGATTAGAGAAATCGATTTGTTTAATTTTATGCCTTTATGCCGCGTTCTAAGTAGACTCCAGGAACTGGAAATTGCGTCCAAAGCTGCCAATTTTTCCAGACAGCATTGAAATGTAGCTTGATAGATAGGAAATTGAATTTTGAAGTTGATAAAATATAGTGTTGACTGTTGGTCATGGTTATTAACCCTGAAAAATGCACTTAAAGTTCGTAATGCTAGCTGAAAATCGTAGAGCTCCGGAAAATACCTTATATTAAAGAGAAAACCTTAAACCACATAGAAATTCCAATAAAAAGCGCCTCGGCTAGATTCAATAGCGAGAACGGCCTTCTGATTGTCCGCATGATTCCGAATTCCATATTTTCCATGAATCGTATCAATCGGATACCAGTAATATGAAACATAGCAACACTTAAATTGAAGTGTTTGAGTATTCGGCAAGCGTTTATACTGTACGCCTTCTAGAATCGTATCAATCTCAGCACCAAAACCGGGACACTCCCATCTGATCATCATGGATTTCAATTTCGGATAAGTTTCAGATTGGGTCCATTTTTTGAGAAACTGGTTGAAAATTCTTGGAAGATTTTCTCTGATATAAAGAAACTCCAAATGACAGGTCTTAAATTGCAAAAAGCTAAAGTCGTAAAGATGGAAAAATGCTAGTAATAAGTAATCATATTCCCAGATGTAAACGATTTCTTCATATTCTCGCGTAGTTAGAGCAAAATTACCAAGAATAGAAAGATCATTTACTGGAAGATGATACTTTAGAATTCTCCTGATGTCTTTAAGTTTATTTGTAATAGCAAGAGTGTCGACTTGAAATCCATTCGACAGTTTTTCGATAATTTCCATTGGAAGCCAAAGTTTTGAATTTCCGAAATGGTAATTGAGAAATTTGCAATGGTAGATTTCAGATAGGAGCTTTAAGAACTCCAGAATCCCAATATTTAGATAAATCCATCTTGGAGGGTTGTTCATTGGGAATTGAATAATTGAATGTCCCGTTCCCCAATAATCGATTAAATTCGTTCGAATTGTGGTATTTTTTCCCCAATCTCCGATTGTAATTTCTATTCGTTTTGGACTCAAAAATTCTATAGAGAATGCCTTGACCTTCAAATTTAGACTTTTTACGAATTCCGCGCTCTTTTTGGAGATTAGTGCGTAGCAAATTCTGGAAATTTCTAAAAACTCTAAGATGGAATCTTCTGACAACTCACTGCTCATGGAAATTGAATAGTCGAATCATTTGTCGTTGACTAACCGTTGTCATTTGGAGGAAGGGGAACGGGTTGCCCATTTTTCTGGAAGAATACTTTATTTTTGAAGGAGGAGGTGAAGAAAATGGTGCAAAAAGGTCAAAGTTGGGTTCTAGACAGTATCCCCTTGCAAGTTAAAAGAAGCAAAAAGAGTTTGGCGCACCGGGGAGTCGAACACCTGGGCTTGTGGGTGGAAGACAGAAGCGTAAACCACTACACCAACGCCCACAGTTAGGCGAGAAGCTGCGGAAGGCGTATAAGTAAGAGAGAGTACGTGGAGTGTGTGAGAGAGTTAGAGGAGGATGAGGGGTGAGGGGAAGGTAAAGATGAAGATGGTCCGATAACGTTAATTGTCTGTAACTCAGCTGAAAATGATCGGCGAGCTTTGGAAACTAGCTTGATCGATAGGGAATTGAATTTTACGTTAGATAAGATGTAGAAAATCTGAATAATCATGATTTAAAAGTCGAGAGAACTTATAAAGAAAATTTCGAAAATTCAAACTACTGTAACTCATTCCAAAACCCCCATGAAAGGTTGAAATATACTTCAATGAATAGAAAAATGATTTTACATTATGTTACAAAATCCTTTACCTATTTTCTATTAAAAAGTATGCGTCCTGGACGCATAATGAGAATTCAAACGAAGCTTTATGCGTCCAATGCGCATATTCCCAGTTTCCTCTAATCCCATTCTGTCTCGTCTTTAATTAGTGGTTTCTATGGGGAAGAAGTCACTCTTTCATTTGATTCATTTTTGTTTTTCGAAAAAAGTTAGAAATTTAATTCTCTAGAGAGTTTTGGAGAGCAAAACCCCGCTTTCTAAACGATGAAATGTGCTTTTTCCTATTGCTCAAACTAGATTCAAGCCTTTTTTTTGAGGATTCTGGAATATGTCACAGTGTTTCGAGTTTTCTGAAGTTTCTTTATAAGCTCCCTCGCCCCTCTCTCCGAACCCATCTTTCTTATACGCCTTCCACAGCTTGTTACTCAAATGTGCGCGTTGGTGTAGTGGCTTAAGCTTTTGCCTTCCATCCACAAGGCCAGGGGTTCGACTCCCCGACGCGCCAAACTCTTTTTGCTTCTTTTAACTTGTAAGGGGATACTGTTTTTGGATGTGTAGAATCCTGTTTTGACCTTTTTAAACTTTTTTTCTATACCTCAATCCATCAAAATAGCAGTTTCTTCTCCAGAAAAATGGGGCAATCTACTCCTTTCCCCTTCCTCCAAATGACCAAGGTAAGTCAACGTCAAATGGTTCGACTATTCAACTTCCATGAACAGTGAGTTGTTTCTAGAACGTTACATCTATAGTTTCGAGAATTTTCCAGAATTTGCTACGCACTAATCTCCAAAAAGAGTGCGGAATTCGTAAGAAGCCTGAATTTGAAAGCCAACGCATTTGCTATAAAATCCTTGACCCCAAAACGAATAGAAATTCAAATTGGAGACTCGGAGGATTCCATAATTCGAACGAATTTAATTGACTATTGGGGGAAGGGAACTTCAATCATCCCATTTTCAAATAACAGGCCAAAAAGATGGATTTATCTAAATATTGGGATTCTGGAGTTCTTAAAGCTCCTATCTGAAATCTATCACTGCAAGTTTCTCAGATTCCATTTCGGCTATTCGCACCATTATCCTCCAATGGAAATTATTGAAAAACTATCAAATGGATTTCAAATCGATAGTCTTATACTCCTAAATCAATATGTCAATGTTAAAAGAATTCTGAAGCATCATCTGCCAGCTAAAAACCTCACAATTCAAGGCAACGTTTTTCTAACTATGCAAGAATATGAAGAAATCGTTTTGATTTGGGAATTTTGATTTTCTACATTTAGCTTTCGACTATGACTTCAACTTTGTGCAATTTAAAACTAGTCATTTGGAATTTCTAAGTTCCAAAGTTAATCTTCTGAGACTTTTCAACCAATTCCTTGAACAATGGATCCTTATCCTAAATTCCAATCCATGATGGTCAGATTCCATGATCCCAATTCTAACATTCCGACTGACACGATTCTAGAAGGCTTATGGCATCATCGTTTGCCGAATAATCATAAACTCGAGTTCAAGTTTTATTATGATTGGTACCATTTGTATCAAATGGAAATTGTACATGGAATATACGAAATTCGGAGGCATGCAGACAATCAGAAAGCCATTCTTTCTATTGAATCTGTTGAAAGCCGTTTTTTTTTGGAATTTCTATGTGGTTTAAGGTAATTTCCAGAGCCTTACGATTGTTTTAAGGTAATTCATAGTTAATTCATAGTTAGTTCAATGTAAAGCAAGCAATATTAACTTCAAATGCATTTTCAGAGTCAAAAACCCCGACCAACAAGAATCGCTATATTTTATCAAATATCAATTTCATTTTGCTATCTATCAAGCTATCTGCCAATGTTTTCCAATGATCTTGACTCGAGTTACAGTTAAATCAATGTCAAAAATATGGTAAATACAAAGATGCGTATTCATCTAGCCTTAAAATTATGATATTTCAGAATTTCCACACTTTATCCAATGTAAAATTCAATTTCCTATTTACCCAGCTATTTTTCAATGTTCTCCGATGATTTTCCACCGAGTTATAGCCTTCTCTTTATATCAGTCACACTTTATCATTAACTTCCCCTCTGCCCCTCCTCCTTCTCTACTCTCTCGCACCCTCCACTTTCCCCCTCACATGTGTACGCCCTCCACTCCCCTCTTCCCCACGCTCCGTTGTGGTCTAGTGGTTAGGATTTATGGCTCTCACCCATAAGGCCGGGGTTCGATTCCCCGCAACGGAAGAAGCTTTTTTACCCTTTTTGCTTTTTTGTACATTATGTAAAATTCAATTTCCAATCGATTGAGCATATTTTAAAGTTGTATTTTAACTCCGCACCTTGTTATGTATATGAATTTTAAGTTCCTGTCCTTCAGACGATCACATTTTTCTTAGAGACACGCGTTGCGGTCGCGTCGCGATTGAACTTGAAAACACCTGCTTTTGTGGGTAAAAATCGAAAAAAAATGAGACAGCTGAAAATTTGTTTGAAGTTAGAAACTTCTAGAATTGTTTTTCGTTGAAAAAAAAAATGTTCTGCAACAATTCTTCCAATTTTTGGATTAGCGAAAACTTTGAAAATTATAATCCATTAATTTCGGATTTGTTTGGAATTAAAAAAGTTTTTAGGTCCGCGGTTATTCTTAACTTTTCGATAATCCTAAGTTCCTTGATTTTGTATGTATTCATGATAATTCGGAATGTAAAAAATCAAAAAATCAATTATCGATTTTCCTATTTCCGGCTGTTCCATGTCAATTTCTTTTTTATGGCCCTCTATATTCTTTGTGGAATTTTTCTATATCCTTTGTGGAAGGTTCAATTACAAGATTCTGCATTTTTGCTATTTATTGTTCTGTTTGGATTCCTAATTTCATTTTCGGGAATCCCCGAACGTTTTGTGTACAGTTTGTGTTTGATTCAATCGATTTTATTGATTTTTACAAAGTGTGAAAAGAAAATTCGAATTCTTGGAATTGATTTCAGAAGGTAACTGATTCAAAAAATTGAAAAAGTCTAAATTTTTAGAGACCTCTGGACCCTTTTACTTTCCTTATTTCTCACTGGAGCCCATTATTATGGAATGGATCAAAAATTCCAGATTCATGGGATTACTGTAGCTATAAATCCTTTTCGCCTACTATTCACTCTTCTTCCATTCATTTTATCTCTATTATGGTTGATTTCTGTGAAATTTGCAAAACCGAAAAACTCGGAAAATCCCAAGAAAAGTATTTCAAATAACAAAATTGGATTTTTCCTGAATAGTATTATTACGAGCTCGATTTCTTTGATTTCCGACTTAATTTCTATGATTTTCGGGTTACTGTACCGCTCGGAAATTTCCTGTACATTCACTTCATTCTTTGGATTCCAGCACTTTTTATGCATTTGGATTTTATCGATTTATCTATCGGAAAAACGGAAAATCCGGATTTGGATCAAGAAATGTAATAGGAAACCTTCTAGAGTGGATATTATGGTAAGTTTTTATTCCGAAAAATGAATTTCGAATAATTTTTTTCAGCCAAATCCAACATGAACTTGGAGGATTCTAAAATTCGATTTTTTTGTGTTTTGGAGTTTTTTAATGGCTTAAAATGAATAAATTATTGAAAAACATTAATTTTTAAAACTCACTCTATTACTGATAGCGAGCATGTGATAAGAAATCGATTGGCTTTTTTAGTCGCCATTCTCATAACAGTATTTCTTATACTTTTTTGAATTAATAAAGAAATCAAAATATTAATATTTTTCAGGAAATGTCGACTTCAGCTAAAATACGAGAAGCTCAGAAGCTAAAATACGAGAAGCTCAGAAGCTGAAATACGAGAAGCTAAGAAGCTAAAATACGAGAATCTCAGAAGCGTGCGGCAGGGTTGCAAAAAACCATGTGGCGGTTGCAAGGGGCGTGGCCTCATTTCTGCACACACGACAGCTGACAGTTTTTTTTTAAATCCGGCACTATGCTACTACATATAAAATCGTTCTCCACTTTATTCAGCGATCAAAATTCAAAAAAAAAATCAATTTTCAGAAGGATTCTTAAATTTCTCCGCTTCCTTTTTCAAATTTTCCATTTCCTGCTTCTTGAATTCCTCGATTTCTCTCCTGACACTCCCTATCCTCATTTAATTGCTCTCGAATATTCTGAAGAGTCTTCTGAAATTCCTCACTTCTCGACGCGTATTTTTCAGCGAACTTCTGCTAAAAACTTTTAGCTAATTTTAGCTAAGCTAAATTACAGGAGGTGGCCTAGAAAACCAAATTTCCAGATAAGCTAGACCATCAAAACAGATCAATTCAAAACTAGAAGCTTACCTCATTATTGGATTCCTGTTGTCCGGACATTTTAGTTTCTGATTTCTGGGAAATGTAGAAAAAATTAGATTATTATTCTTACTATACGATTTTGGGGTGAAAAAAGAAGAAAAATAAATTTTTATCAAATTATCAGTGACACTATCTTTTTGATGTCAAAATCGCTTTTATATGTAGAAAAGGGAAGTTGTCAACAAAAATATTGACGACAACATATAATTTTGGGCCAAGTTACAGCGGTTTTAGGGTGGTGGCCTAGAAATCCAAATTTGAAAAAAGTTAGGCCACCAAAAGTTAAATAAATCAAAAATGTGTAACTTTTTGTAACAATTTTCATGATGCTTTCAAATTAGTATCATCTTGATTTCGAAGCGAGATATAGGCATTTGAAGTTGGTGGCCTAGAAACCCAAATTTTTGGAAAACTCGGCCATCTAAAATTTGAAAAACTGTATGTACCTGTAATCTAACATTGAAAAAAAAATTTTTTCAAAAATTCTACAGTTCATAAAACTGGTTTCATCTGATAACGACGGCGACTTTGTTTTTTAGAAGAGACCGAAATTTAGGCTCTGCCCACTATTTTCCCCCCATTCTTTCTTTTTTTTTTCCTTATACTAATTTTTTTTTATTTTTTCTGAAATTCTATATTTTGGATTACTGTATTTTTATAGTTATTTTGGCTGAAAAAAGTGAGTTTCAATTGTTTTTTTTTTTTGGATTTTCCAAAAATTGAATTTTCAGATTTTTGGACTACGAAATTACAACTGCATGACTCGGTATTTTTTGAGGGAAATTGTGAGTTTTTGACTTTTTTTGATTTTTTATTTCGAATTAAATTTTTTCAGATTCGCATGATAACAATCGGATCAATTATAATTTTTTTTTAGTTTTTGTTTTTTTTTTCAATTCAGAATTTTTTCAGATACCCATGTCCCTAGTTGAAATAGGATCAATTTTAATTTTTTTTATATATTTTTTATAAATAAAAGTTTTTAATTTTTATTGTTTTTTTTAATTATAATGAAAATTTTCAGATTTACAGAATACAAAAACTGAAAATTCAAGATTCCTGAAATCCAAAAAAATCTGACAAAAAGAAATATCTAAAAATCTAAAATTGGGAATTTTCGAATTTCCAAAAAACGTTTTTTTTTTTTAATTTAAAAATCCAGAAATCTAGAAATCTTAAAATTTTGGGAATTTTAAAAATCCAAAAAAAAAACAGAATTTCTAAAAATCTTTAAATCTTAAAAAAACATAAAAATCCTAAAAATCTTGAAATTCCGCAAGTTGAAAAATTCTAAAATCTAAAATTTCAAGAAGTCCTAAAATCTGACAAAAACACCTGAAAATCGACAATTCCAAAAATCCAAAGAAGTTGGGAAATCTGAAAATCTGAAAAATGGCAAATTTCGAAAATTGAGGAGTCAAAAATTCTCGATTTCTCAAAATAATCCAAAAATCTAAAAATCCAAAATCCAAGAACCCAAGAAGTTAGAAAATTTGAAAAATTCCAAAAATCTTCAAAAATCAAAAATTCCGTTCATTGAACTTGGAACATTGATCGTCAAAACAAAATCCAGGGCTCCTAGACCCCATAAATATGCCATTTCCAGATTTCTCTATCTCTCTCTCTCTCTCTCTCTCTCTCTCTCCCCGGAAAATTCACTAAAAATATGTCTGAATGTGTCATCTGGCATACACGTGTCACACCCTCTGTCTCCTCCCGACCCAAACGTTTTCATCTTTTTTGTTCAAATTGACACCCTCTATCCTCCACAAAATCCGCCAAACTGCTCCGATTCAAACTCACCGCCATTGGCCAATCAGACCTTCGAATGGGCACCAACAATGTGAATTCGTGTGAGTATCACTTAATTACATCTAATTATCTCAAAAAGCAATTAAGATAGGAAGAAGTTGTTAACTACTAAATTTATTGTTGTAAAATTTTACACATTTTTGTAATTGACTATTTTTTGATTTATGTACTTTGAGCTGAGATAAATAGGGTCAAAGTAGCAGGGGGGGGGGGGGTAGCAATTTAGGGATAAGGCAATACCAATCAAAAAAAAATTACTACCAAAAAATGGCTAGGTTTTCCCAATATTAAGTACTATACAAAACAAAACAAGAGCTTCATTTTTGTAGTTGACACTTTTTTTGTAACTACTGTAGTTTTTGAGATATGCGTTTTTAAAATTTCCAGTGCTTTTTGGAAATATTTGTTTCTAGACTTTCAGATTCCCTAAAAATAAATATTTCTACTCTAGAATAGCTCTAAACTTTTGGGAAAAACAAAAATTAAAGCGTTTTTCCACCAAGGGGAATCGAACTCGGGTAGTGAGATTCCAAGATTTGGCGTTCCAAAAACCCACTGAGCCATCTACCCAAATTTTTGAAAAATTAGGATTTTCATAGTTTTAAAAGGATTTTTTGGGGTTTTCGATGTTGAAAAATGGATTTTTCATAGTCAAATTGCTCTAAAAATCAATTTTTCCCTGAAAATTAGAAAAAATATTTTTTTGGTTTTCAAAATTTTTTCGAAAATCTCAACGTTGCATTTTTCAAGCTTTTCGGACTTTTCCTTTATATTTTATAGCTCTAAACTGAAAATAAAAATTTTGCCACCGAGAGGAATCGAACCCGGGTCATCAGTTTGGTAGTGAAAAATGTCCGAAATCCCACTGAGCCAAATGTGCATTTTTGGGAAAATAGCTGAAAAACATGGATTTTTCAAAGTTTTCTGTGGATTTTAGCACTTCTTACATGTTTTTGACCCTATTTTTCAAAATTTTTTGTCAAAAAATTTTTGAAAACGTTGAGCTCCACTCCCTCTTCTCCTTCGAAAAAAGACATGAAATTAATCCCTTTTGGTACAAGATGGTGGTTTTTTTGGGTAAAAAAAGGATTAAAAAGGTGTCCATCTGTCATTATTTTTCATCTTTTTCAGGGTTTTTGGGGGCCATCTTTTGGTCAAAAATGTAGTGTTTAGGAATTTCGAAAAAAATTTTATTTGGAATTTCAGATTTTTTTTTGGTTCCTAGTATAAAATTCTAGCCAAAAAAAAGAGAAAATTTTCTTATAAACAACCAAATATGTTACTTTTTTTTTGTGATAGAATTTGAAAGCATATCAAAAAATAAATATCAAAAAATAAATAATTCCAGACAAGAGAGAAAAAATGTGTTTTTCTTACTTTTTTAGTTTTCAGATTTTTTTTTTGGCTGAAAAAAAATCTAGAATTTTTTTTCTACATTTTTTTAGCTGAAATATTTTCTTGAGGCGTTTTATTTAATTTCCTAGCTATTGAATTTTTAATAATTTTTCTTTAAAAAAATTTTTTTATAGTTTGAGGAATTTTTTAAAAAAAATTTTCAGAAAAATTTTTGGGACCAATTTTTGGCTCAAATATTGCAAAAAAGAGCACATGTCATTTTTGACCCAAATCTATCAATCAAACTCATAGAAAAAAGTTCGCTAGGAACATTTTTTGGGAGAGAGCATCTCCATTTTTTTGGGGAATTTTTGAAAGGGAAAAAGAAGAGAGAGTCCGCAACTCGACCTTCATTTGGTCCCTCTTTTTCTTTTCTTTTTCTCATCTGTATCGGTTTTCAAATTTCGCGCGCCAATTCCCAAAAAGTTTCTTTGGTCCAAGATTTTTCAGTTGATTTGACAATTTTTAGCCAATTTTCTGAAATTCAAAACATGCAATTTTTGTATCGTAAAGTGGCCCGGAACAACTTTTTAAGCTCAGAAAAAAAAATGCTAAAAATATTTGCCACCGAGAGGAATCGAACTTGGGTGGTGAGATTTTCCCAAATTTGGAGTTCCAAAACCCCACTGAGCCATTTGTGCAATTTTCGAGAAACTGGAGTTTTTAGCGTTTTAAATACTGAAAATTTGACTTTTCGTAGTCAAATTTTTGTAGTCAAAATTTGACTTTTCGTAGTCAAATTTTCGTAGTCAAAATTTGACTTTTCGTAGTCAAAATTTGACTTTTCGTAGTCAAATTTGATCTCCAAAATTTTTTTTAATGTTCAAAATATTGCATTTTTTGATTGGTTTTTTGGTCTTTTTCACTCCTTTATCGCTTTAAACAAGAATAAAAAAGGTTTGCCACCAAGAGGAATCGAACTCGGGTAGTGGAATTCCAAGTTTTGGGGGCCCGAAAACCCACTGAGCCATCTGAAAAAGTTTTCGAAAAAATCCGATTTTCATAGTTTCATGGTGGTTTTAGGGATTTTTTATGTTGAAAAACCGAGTTTTCATAATCAATTCTTCTTAAAACTTTATTTTAAACGAATTTTTGGAAAAAAACAAATTTTGGTTCTCAACATTTTTTTTTCAAAAATTCAAAAATTTTCATTTTTCTAGTTTTTAGGCATTCCTGGTGCATTATTCTCGCTTTTCACAAAAATAAAAAAGGTTTGCCACCAGAGGACTCGAACCTGGGTCGTCAGATTGGTAGTTGAAAATGTCCAAAATCCCACTGAGCCAAAAGTGCATTTTTGGAAAAAATCGCCATTTTTCAAGTTTTTTAGGGATTTTAACGGAGTTTTTATGTTTTTAAGGTCCCTTTCTTGGATTTTAGGGTTTTTTCTAGGAAGAAACGTTCCAGACATTTCTCTGACGTCGAGAATTTTTTCTTTGTTTAAAAGAAAATAAATTGTTCCAGACAGGAAAATTGGTTCCAATTTGACCCAAACGAGAGATAAAAGAAATAAAAATGACATTTTTCGTTTTTTCTAATTGCCGTCTTCTTTTTTATGTGTTCCATTTTTTTTCTTTTTTCTGGTCCCGTCCCATCCCATTACTCATTTATTTTCTTTAGTGTTTTTTGAAGTAAAAAAATTGGACCCAAATTTTTTTTAATTTTCAAAGATTCTCAAATGTCTGGATTCGTGGGTCCTTGGATTCCTGAATTCCTGGATTCCTGGGTCCCTGGATTCCTGGGTCCCTGGATTCATGGATTTCTGAATTTCTGAATTCCGGGATTCCTGGATTTCTGAATCCCTGGATTCCTGGATTTCTGAATTTCTGAATTCCTGAATTCCGGGATTCCTGGATTTCTGAATCCCTGGATTCCTGGATTTCTGAATTTCTGAATTCCTGAATTCCTGGATTCCTGGATTTCTGAATTTCTGAATTCCTAAATTCCTGGGTTCCTGAATTCCTGAATTCCTGAATTTCGTAATCCCTGGGTCCCTGGATTCATGGATTTCTGAATTTCTGAATTCCTGAATTCCTGGATTTCTGAATTCCTGGATTTCTGAATCCCTGGATTGCTGGATTTCTGAATTTCTGAATTCCTGAATTCCTGGATTCCTGGATTCCTGGATTTCTGAATTTCTGAATTCCTAAATTCCTGGGTTCCTGAATTCCTGAATTCCTGGATTTCGTAATCCCTGGGTCCCTGGATTCATGGGTTTCTGAATTTATGAATTCCTGAATTCCTGGATTTCTGAATTCCTGGATTCCTGGATTCCTGGATTTCTGAATTCCTGGATTCCCTGATTTCTGAATACCTGGATTTCTGAATTTCTGAATTCCTGGTTTCCTGGATTCCTGAATTTCTAGATTCCTAAATTCCTGGATTCCTGGGACCCTGGATTCCAGGATTTCTGAATTCCTGGATTCCTGAATTCCTGGATTCTTAGGTTCTTAGATTCTGCAAGTTCGAAGAATACAATTTTCCACCTAACAATAAAAAATCCAATTTCTCCAAAAATCCATTTCCTTCTTTTTCGTTTTAGTTCATAAATTTTTGCAGCAGGAGCAGCAGAAAAAAAAAAGAAATTGTTTCCTTTTTCTTTTCAATTTTAGTCAAAAAGGTCATAGATTTTCTCAGCGGGACACTTTTTTTTTCAAATTCCCGGAATTTTTTTTTGGAATCTTCTCGACAAAAATTCCTAGAAAAATAGGGAATTTTCATTATTTTCTTTTTCTTCTTCTTCTTTTTATTATTCTAATTTTCTCGCCCCAAATTTATTCAATTAATTTGGGGGAAGAAAAATAAGAGAAGATACTATTTATTCTAGCTGGCCAAATAACAATTTTTCTGAGATTGTTTTTGGCTGAAAATAATAAAAAATTCTGAAAAATGGAAAAATTTTCCACAAATCATAATAATTCTGCTACTTTTGCTCTGTCTTCTGCTGCAAAGATGATGATGCCAGGTGAGGAATCTAAGAATCTAAGAATCTAAGAATCTAAGAATAAGAATCTAAGAATCTAAGAATCTAAGAATCTAAGAATCTAAGAATCTAAGAATCTAAGAATCTAAGAATCTAAGAATCTAAGAATCTAAGAATCTAAGAATCTAAGAATCTAAGAATCTAAGAATCTAAGAATCTAAGAATCTAAGAATCTAAGAATCTAAGAATCTAAGAATCTAAGAATCTAAGAATCTAAGAATCTAAGAATCTAAGAATCTAAGAATCCTGGAATCTAAGAATCCTGGAATCTTGGAATCCTGGAATCTTGGAATCCTGGAATCCAGGAATTCAGGAATCCTGGAATCTTGGAATCCTGGAATCCAGGAATTCAGGAATCCAGGAATCCAGGAATCCAGGAATCCAGGAATTCAGTAAATGTTTTTTTCAATTTTTGGGAATTTTTTGGACCAAAGAATTTTTTGAATTTTCTAGTCTTTGTGCTCTTTCTCTTCTCCCTTTCTGGTCCCATTTAAAAACCACTTTTCAAATTTCCCGCCACTTTTCCAATCTTTTTTTTTTCAAAAAAAAATAGGGGTCAAATTTTTTTATTTGGGAAATTAGATACCAAAAAAGTTGGGGGAGTTTTTTTTTTTTTTTGAAGTGTGAAAAGAAAAATGATACGAAAATTTAGAAAAAGAGATGTTGTCTATGTGAGATTTTGAAAAAAAAATTTTTGGAAATTTTCATGGAATTTTTGGATTTTTGACATTTTTGGATGCTTTTGTATTCTGGAATGTTAAAATTGAATATTTCAATTTTAAAAGAATTAGTTCGAAATTCTTCCCTGTAGAAAATTCGGGACCATTAAAAAAAATTTCTGAAAAAAAATTTTTTCCCAAAATAAAAGAAGAAAAAAAATTATCGGAAAATTCAATTTCAGATATTTTTCCAGACTTTTTTGTCTGAAAAAAACAAGGAAAAATTAAATTTAAATCATTTAATTTAATTTTCCTGAAAAAACAATTTAAGATTTTTTTGTCTGAAATTTAACAAAACTTGTTTTTTTTTCTGAAAATTTCAAATTTTCTGGTTTTCAAAAAATTCTGAATTCAGAATTATTTGAAATTTTCAAATTCTTTTGATACCAAAATTGCTAATACCGATCATATTTGTACTCATTTTGAAGCATTTAACTTGCTGAATTCAGCGAAATTTATTTTGAAATTAAATTTAATGTATTTGCCTTGTTCAGCGCTTCAAAATGAGTATAATCATGACCTACTTTCTCAGATCTTCCTTTATTTGGACCCCTATGCGCCTTTAAAGTCATAAAAATCAAAATGGGCGGAGCCTAGTCGTGTTTATATTCATTTTGAAGCTCTTAACCTCCTGATTTCAATAAAAAACATTTTCGAAAATTTTCTCAGATTTTGAATTAGTTATGCGCCTTTGAATAATCCGAAATGTCTAACTTTTTCAAACCTGGTCATGTTTATACTCATTTTTAAGCTCTCAACTTGCTGAATTCAAAAAAATTTATTTTGATATTAAAGTTTCTTTTTTTGTTTCGCGCTTTAAAATGAGTATAATCATGACCTACTCTCTCAGATGTTTCTTTATTTGGACCCCTATGCGCCTTTAAAGTCATAAAAACTAAAAATGGGCGGAGCCTAGTCGTGTTTATATTCATTTTGAAGCTCTTAACCTCCTAAATTCAATAAAAAACAGTTTCAAATGTTTTTTCAATTTTTTGAAGTAGTTATGCGCCTTTAAATCCAAAAAAAACTCGAAAAATTCAAGTTTCACCGAACTAGGTCATGTTTATACTCATTTTGAAGCTCTCAGCTTGCTGGGATCAAAAGAGCGTTTTTTGAAATTGATATTTTTAAATTTCACAGGTTGAGGGCTTCAAAATGAGTATAATCATGACCTACTCTCTTAGATTTTTCTTTATTTGGACCCCTATGCGCCTTTAAAGTCATAAAAACTAAAAATGGGCGGAGCCTAGTCGTGTTTATATTCATTTCGAAGCTCATAACCTTCTAAATTCAATAAAAAACAGTTTGAAATGTTTTCTCAATTTTTTGAAGTAGTTATGCGCCTTTAAATTCAAAAAACTCGAAAAATTCAAGTTTCGCTAAACTAGGTCATGTTTATTCTCATTTTGAAGCTCCTAACTTGCTGAATTCAAAATTTCTTATTTCAGTTAAAAATTTTGAATTTCAGATTCTTTTTTAGCGTTTTTAAGATTCTAAAAAAGGATTTTTAGTCTATCTTAAGTTCCTTTTGGGTATCCATGTCTCTTTTTTCGAATTCCTCATCAAAATGCTCCGAAAAATGTCAAATTTGTCATTCCTCATGACATTTGACGTCTTCTAGAAGAATCTAGAGGCATCAAAATCTCTTTTTTCTAAGATTTCCTAAACGGGGCTCATTAATTATTTATGCACATTGCTCAGATGAAGTCACGCAAGACGAGAGAGTGTGTAGAGTGAGAGAGACGCAGAGAAGTAGAGAAAAATTAGTGCAATTTTTGAGTTAATTAACTGCATAATTAGATAATTAATTAGATTTTCCAGGAATAACGTCAGAAAATTTGGGAGCATCAAAAATTAGGAAGATGTTCCAAAAAGGGAAAAAAAGGCGGAGCCTATTGTGTGTATCTAAAAGAAGAAGACGTGGGACGTCTTCTCCGTTTCTATTCTTGTGGCTGACCCACTCAGAGACAAAAAATCTATTTTGGCGTCAAGAAAATTTTTTTGGAATATATTTTTTTGAAAATTCAAAGTTGAGGCCTAAAAATGTGTAAGTGATTTTGTACCCCACTTTTGGGGCTTTAAAAATTTAAAATTTTAGTCCAGAAAACTGAATTCAGCAAGTTAGAAGCTCCAAAATGAGTATAAACATGACCTAGTTTGGTAAATTTTGAAAATTTGGATTTTTTCGGCTTAAAGGCGCATAACAAGTTTCAAGATTTGGGGACCCATCTGAAATTAATATTTTAAATTTTAACAAGTTGAGAGCTTCAAAATGAGTATAAACACGACTAGGTTCCCATCATTTTGAAATTTGACTTTAAAGGCGCATAGGGTGTCCAAAAAAGAGCAAAACACAAATCCTGAGAAAGTAGATCATGATTATACTCATTTTGAAGCTTTTATTGTGGCTAGTTCAAAAATTTAAATATCACCCGGAATTTCAGAAAAACAACAAAGTTACGCTAAAATCGATCAATATAATGAAATTGGTATTCCGAAAACTGTCCATAACTTTTTTGTTTCTGAAACAAAATTGTTGGAATTTGAATTTTTGAATTTAGCAAATTAATAGCTTCAAAAGGAGTATAAACATGACTATGCTCCGTCTATTTTGAAATTTGACTTTAAAATGGGGGGGGGGGTCCAAAAAAGTGTCCAAAAACAATATCTAAGAAAGTAGGTCATGATTATACTCATTTTAAAGCTCTAAGCAAGACAAATACAGTAAACTTAGATTCTTATCTTCAAATCCTCCAGAAGTATTGTTTTGTAGTTCTGAAAATTTTCAAAAATTTTTCAAAAAATTTTTCAAATTGATTAAAATCTCTGAATCCCATTTTTCTGTTGCCTCCTTTGTTCACGACCGAACATGGACCATTAAACAACTTGTGGTCCATTTTTTGCCTCCCCCAGGGCCAATAATTGGAACTTTTTTCCCCGGAAAAAAGACAACTTTTTTTTCAAAGCAAAAAATGGGACACAACAAAAAAAGTGCGAAAATTGGACAATAATGCCTTTTAAGGCAAAAAATCAGATTAGAAAAAATTTTTGGGACCAAAGAAAAGGCGAAAATTGGTTTTTCCACTTTATTGTTGCAAAAAGTTTTCGTCCGAAATTTTTTTCTAGGTTAAACTTCATTTTTTGGATTCTACTTTTTTAAAATGTCAATTTCCAGACTACGAAATGTACAAAATTCACCGCCAAGGTCAACAGAACGGTGTCAATGGAGCGCATCCGGAGAAGAAGCTGAATAAGAAGGTTTGGCGGGAAATTTGAAAAAAAATTTTCTGAAAATTTTGGGTTAATTTTTTGGCCCAATACCTCTGAAATTTAAATTTTGATTTAAAAAAGAAGCAATGTTTTCAAACAATAATACTACTCAAAAAATGCATTCATTGGTTTCTCTCCAAGAGGGGATTTCCCACACATTGTCAACTTTAAAGGCGCATATCTCAAAAGTCATAATAGCTAGCAAATTTTTGTTAACCATTAAAATGTAGAACATTACATTTCACATATTTTTGTAATTTAACACTTCTTGATAGCTTTGCTAGTGTTCGAGATATGCGCCTTTGAAGCTAAGCGACCCCCACTGGCTGCGTCGGAAAGTGAGGGGGCGCTAGGTAAGCTAACTTTAAAAGCGCATATCTCAAAAACCGTAAATGTTATTACGAAACTCGTAATTAAAAAAATATAGATCATAACATTTCACACACTTTTGTAATTTATCACTTCTTGATGTGTTTCTTAGTTTTTTAGATATGCACCGTTAAAGTTAGGCAACCCAGCCGGCAGTGGCGCGAGGGAGAGGGTATTGGGGCGCAAGGTAGGTAAACTTTAAAGACGCATATTTCAAAAACTGTAAATGCCATCTGAAAATTGTTTGACATCAACAGCAAATTGTTAAGCAAAAAATTTGACACATTTTTCGTATACTTCAAAATGTGTCAAAAATTTGACACATTTCGTATACTTCTAAATTTTATATTTTATAAAATTGTAGATCATTGAATTTTACATATTTTTGTAATTTACTACTTTTTGGTATCTTCTCTAGTTTCTGAGATATGCGTCTTTAAAGTTAGGTTATCCCCACCAGAGTCGGCGGGAAGGGAGGGTAGGGACGCTAGGCGGGCTAATCTTAAAGACGCATATCTAAAAAACCGTGATCATTCTTATAATAAATAAAATGAAAGACCCTTGGAATAAGACAGAGGAACAGTAAAAGAAATAGGTTAATTTGCGCCGAAGGCGCACCAGCCAGCTGCTTGAAGCGCCGAATGCGCGGCAAACAGGCTGGTAGCTATAAAAAAACTCAAATCACAAAAATTTAGAACATAAAATTTTTGTGATTTACCACTTTCTGATTTCTCTTCTAGTTTCAAAGATACGCGCTTTTAAAGTAAAGTGACCTCCACTGGTAGCGACGGAAAGAAGAGGGTAGGTGGCGCCAGGTAGCCTAACTTTAAAGGCGCATATCTCAAAAGTAATGACTTCTAGCTAAATTTTGAAAATATAAAATTGTAGATCATTAAATTTTACACATTTTTGTATTTTTATACTTTTTGATATCTTCTCTAGTTTTTGAGATATGTGCCTTTAAAGTTGGGTGACACTGGTGGCGGCGGAAAGAGGAAGGTAGGGGGCGCCAGGTAGCCTAACTTTAAAGGCGCATATTTCAAAAATCCTTGCAGCTATGCGAAATTTGCTAACTGTAAAAATATAGATCATAAAATTGTACACTTTTTTGTAATTTATCACTTTTTGATATCCGTCCTAATTTTTGAGATATGCGCCTTCAAAGTTAGCGCGCTCCCTAGACTCTCCAAAATCCTAGGAAAGAGGTCCCAGAGAAACGAGAGTGTCTAGCTTCTCTGTGTTTCTCGCCTCCTTTTATTTTTTTTTCAAATCCTGTCAGACAATCCCATATCTCTTTAACCTAACGAACCGGAAGAAAAGATTTGCCATCTTCTCATAAAAAGCTTCTCATAAAAAAGTTTTAGTTCTTTTTCTTCATAAAATTTTGGAAAATCTTCTTCCCCCCCCCCCTTTGTTAAATGGGTCCTAAAAATAAAGAAGAAGGGTCATCTGCATCATCATCATCATCTGAATGCTTTGTGCTTCTTCCCAAAAGAAAGTTCTCGAATTACATTCATAGACTTTCGGGGTGCACTTCGCCAAATTGCATTTTTTCATTTTTTTTTTTTTGACTGGAGCAAATATTTTTTGTCTAGTTTTGAAAGTTTTTTCCTTAATTTAGGTTTTCTGCTCCAAAAAAACGAAAAAAAAAAGTTTGACACCCGGAGGAATCGAACCCGGGTAGTGAGATTCCCAAATTTGGCGTTCCAAAATCCCACTAGGCCATCTATAGAAATTTTCGAAAAATATCGATTTTCAATGTTTTTGGTGGGTTTATGAGGTTCTAAACTATAAAAAATCGATTTTTCATGTTTAATTTGCTCTAGAAAACAGTTCCCAGGCTGAAAATTCGAAAAGATGTTGTAAGCCATCTATGCAATTTTTCTGTAAGCCATCTATGCAATTTTTGGAAAAAATGCGATTTTCATGGTTTCCAGTGGATTTTAAGCGTTTTTAATAGTGAAAAAATTATTTTTCGTAGTTTTTTAGCTCTGGAAAATAGTTATAGCCTAGAAGATCGAAAAAAAATGTTTTGGAATTTTTTGAAACTTTTCCAAAAACCTGAAAATTAGAATTTTCGAATTTTTTTGAATTTTTAAAACTTTTTTAGTACTTTATATGGTCCACACAAAAATACAAAAAAAGTTTTGGAGCCAAGAGGTATCGAACCCGGGTCGTGAGATTCAGAGATTTCGGATTCCAAAATCCCACTGAGCCATCTGGGCAACATTTCGAAAAAGTGGGATTTTCATGGTTTTTAGTGGGTTTCAGAGGTTTTTAGAGCTGAAAAATCGATTTTTCATGTTTTCTTAGCTCTAGAATGTAGTTGGTCGCCTGGAAATTCGAAAAATATTTTTTTCAATTTTTGGAATTTTTGGAATATTTTTTTTTCAAAAAATCTAAATTCAGGATTTTTTCACATTTTCTAGGGCGTTTTTGTATCTAAAATTGCTCAAAACGGAAATCAAAATGATTTTGCCACCCAGAGGAATCGAACCCGGGCCGTGAGATTCAGTGATTTGGGGTTCCAAAAACCCACTGAGCCATCTGTGCAAATTTCCCAAAAATTGGGATTTTCATGATTTTTAGTGGGTTTGAGAGGTTTTTAAAGTTGAAAAATCAATTTTTCATGTTTTCTTAGCTCTAAAAAGTAGTTTTTCGCCTGGAAATTCGAAAAATATTTTTTTCAATTTTTGAATTTTCGGAATTTTTTCAAAAACACGAAAATTTCCCAAATTTTTATAACATCTTACATTCTAAAAAACTTTTTTAACCTAAAAATTTCTCGCTCTTGTCCCTTTAAATTATTTATTGAACTTGCTTTTTTTGCTCCCATCAATCACTCAAAAAGAAATCTTTCCCCTTCTTAGGGCCCATTTTTCCTTTTTTTTCCGAATTTTTCGAAAAATTAAAAACTCAATTTTTTACCAGAGACTACAGTAACCCATCACCAATCCCCCAAGAAAAATTATATGAATGCATTTTTCGAGTATTTTGACGAGAACGGTCTACCGCCGCCTAAAACGGCGGCTCAATCGAAAAAGGTCAGATTTGACCTAGAAAAGGTAAAAATTACTTTAAAATGTCTGAAAATGTTTGAAAATAGATAAAAATATCAGAAAAAAGTAGAAAAAAGAAATAGACCCCGACGGGGTTTGAACCCGGGTGTTGAGATTGGTAGTTTTAGAAAATCCCACGGAGCCAAAAGTGTGATTTTTTGAAAAACGTCGAAAATTGCGTTTTTTAGGGTTTCTAGGGGATTTTAAGGGTTTTCAGAGAGTTGTCAAAAGTTTTCTGATGGCTTCTGACCAGTTTTCAGAGACTTTTGGTGACAATTTTGGAATAAAAAATTAAAAAAAAATTTTTTCGAAATTTTTTTTAAAAATTAATGATTTTCAGAATACATTTCAGAAGTCAAAAGGAATTCTGGAGGACGACGATGAGGATGAGAAGCTCAAGTGTAAGGTGGCAACGATTCGAATTGAGGATCATGATGAGGAGGAGGAGAAGCGAAAAATGGAACGGAAAAAGAGGACACAGGAGGATATGGTAGCGGATTTTGTCAAGATTTTGGAGCAAATGAGTGAGTGCGGACATCTGGATACACAGATTTCGCTTTTTTTGAATTTTTGAGAATCTCGATTTTGAGAATTTTTGAGATATTTAATGCAAAACTTTTTGGATCAATTTGAAAAAAAAAGATTATTTCAAAATTCGAATATCAGACCTAAAATTAGGTCTTTCTTAACATTACCATTCGATTTCTCGTGAAAAATTACGCCGAATAGGTTCCAATGGCCGAGTTTGAGTTTTCTAGGCCACCAAGTTAAAACAGCTGTAATTCGGCTCAAAATTAAAATTTTGCAATTCTGGAAACTCCATGAAATTTTTCATGGAAAATCACACATTTTTGACTTATTTAATTTTTGGTGGCCTAACTTTTTGCAAAATTTGGTTTTCTAGGCCACCAACTTAAAATGGCCATAACTTGTCTCAGGATCCAGGTATTTGAGTTCCGAAACCACCAAAATACTTCATATTCATTGCCTCACAATTTCCAGTTTTCGGTGGTCTAGTTTTCTCAAAATCTGGTTTTCTAGGTCACCAGATTCAAATGCTCATAACATGGCTGAAAGTTAAGATTAATCAATACTGAAACTTTCATGAGACTTGCCATGAAAAATTACTCATTTTTAATCTATTTAACTTTTGGTGGCCTAACTTTCTTAAAATGTGGATTTCTAGGCCACTGACTTTAAATGGACATAATTTGGCTCAAAATCAAGTATTCAACCCACATTTTCAGTGAATCCCCGCCAAGCGGTCACCTCAATCATCTCCGCGGGAATGGGTGTCGCAGCGATTACGGTAGCCGTCATTTTCTTCGGCAGCCTTCCAGAAAGTGCTCTAAACGCGAAACAACTTGTTATCATTCTCGCGGTATACGGTATTTTGCAAATCGTGCTAGCCACTGCGTTCTTCATTACTTGTATGCAAACAACAATCGCTGTTTCGAAAGGTGTTAAGGTTTGTTTTCAAATAATTGTCATTAGAGCGAATTTACGTTTTCAGGACGCCTTTCAAATCGTTGTTGGTCTTCTCGTTGCACTGATCTACGTAGCGGTGACATTGATATCTCTAGCGGTTGGAGTTTTTGGTAAGCATGAAAAGTTTAAAAGCGCATAACTCAAAAACTAGTGTAGCTATAAGCAAAATTCAAACGGGAAAATGTGGAACGTTGTATGCTAAACATTTTATCGATTCACCAATTTCAGTTAACTTAAGTGCTTCTTGAGATATGCGCCTTTAAAAATAAAGCGAGCCCTGGGAGGAGGTCCACCCCTCACCCCCAAGAAGAGGCGCGCGCCAACTTTCAAGGCGCATATCTCGAAAACTGCTGTAGCTAGAACCAAAATCCAAATCGGTAAATATGTAAAATTTTGTCCCTAACAATTTTTTAATTGACAAAATTTTGCTAGCTTTAACGGTTTTGTTGATATGCGCCTTTAAAGACACTATACTCTAAGAGTGGGTCCACCATTAACTCGCAAGGGAGAGAGAGGGCGCGCCAACTTTAAAGACGCACATCTCAAAAACTACAGCCGTTAGAAACAAAATTTAAAATTAAAAACATATGAAATTTCATGTTCAGAAAGTTCATACTTAACCAAATTTGAATAGCTTAAGAGGTTTTTGAGATATGCGCCTTCAAAGGGAGCGAGCCCCGAGAGGAGGATCACCTCGCGCGCCAACTTTCAAGGCGCATGTTTCAAAAACTACTGTAGCTAAAATCAAAATCCAAATTGGTAAATGTGTAAAATTTTGTCCAAAATAAATTTGTAATTGACAAGATTTGAATAACTAACATGGTTCTTGAGATATGCGCCTTTAAAACAAGTGCACCGTGTGAGTGGGTCCACCCCCTCCCTCCTCACGTGCCTTGAAAACTTTAAAATTTGAAAGGCGAATATCTCAAAAACCACATTAGCTATAAGCAAAATTCAAATTGGAAAGTGTGTAAATTTTTATGCTCAGCAATTTGTTAATGAACAAAATTCAGCTAGTTTTAATGGTTTTGTAGATATACGTCTGTAAAGAAACATCACCCTGGGAGATGGTCTAACCCTCACCCACCAGGAGAAGTGGGGGGGGGGGGGGGGGGGGCGCTCACATTCAAGGAGCATATCTCAAAAACTACAGTACCTATGTTTTTCAGGTTTCTACAAAACACTCTGCATAGTTTCATTTGTCGAATACGAGGACCACGAATCGCAATTCTACTGTCCACCGCCCGTCTTTTATACATCTCTCACCGTCTTCATCCTTCATATCGTTCTGATTGTCGCGAAATGTTGCTGCTGTAAATAATTAGGCTCCGCCACCCAAATCTCACCTCATATTACCTATGTACATTCAGAGAACACATTGAAATAAAATTTTTATTTTTATTTTAAGATGAGCAATAATTCAAATTTTAAGAAAAATGCAAAAATCGGACAAGGAGCAGGCACTTTGGGAGTAATATAAAGTAATAAAGCTTTAAAATCGGGGGAGGGGGGGGGGTGACTTTTTGCCTATTTTTGACATAAAAATACAAATAATTGGTGATAGGATTTTTTTTTGGGATAAAAAATTTTTGAAAGAAAAAGTTTAAAAAAAACGGTTTTTTTGAAAATTATAAAGTCATTTTCTCGAGAATCGGAATGATTTGATCAAAGTTCGGACGACGTCCCGGATCCTCATTCATACAGATATTCATTAAACGATTCATGTTTCGGGCGATGCCAGGCGGTATTTGTACTCGCAGGCCTTCCAGAGCGATCTGGAATCATTTTTTTTGTGGTATTTTGGATTTTTGGCTGAAAAATTTTTTTCGGCCTGATAACAATTTTTCCGACTTATTCTTGGAAATTTCAGTTATCCGGCGTGTCGTTCTATTAGAGGTTTTACGGTATGCGCCTTTAAAGATTGCGCGCGCTGACTGGTGGCCTAACTTTTTGGAGTTTCTAGGCCACTTTCAAATTTAAATGCCTATAACTCGGCTGAAAATGAAGATTTTTCAATTCCGAAACTTTCATAAAATTTTTTATAAAAAATTACACATTTTTGATGCATTTAACGTTTGGTGGCCTAGTTTTCTCAAAATTTGGTTTTCTAGGCCACCGCTCCAAAACGGCTGTAACGCCGTTCAAAATCGAGATTTTTCAATTCTGAAAAAAGTTTTTAGGTGTTCATGGCCCAACTTTCTCAAAATTTTGATTTCTCACCTTCATTCCGCACTCCATTGGTGCCAAATCGGAGAACGGAACCTCTCGGGTGTTCAATTCCCACAATAACACAGCGAACGACCACATATCGGCCGCCCGAATATTCAAGTCTTCTGGTGCACGTGTCAACGCTTCTGGAGACATCCACGCTGGTGAGTAGGATTTGCCGATTTCTTGGAATGAGAATTTGGTGTCGGCCATTGAGAGTTTTGCGGTTAGTTCCTCATCAACAACGACATGTTTTGAGGAGAGGTAGAACCTGAAAATGAGCAATTACCGTAAAAATTAATATTCTTGTTGTATTAGGCTTGTTGAGAGCTTCAAAATGAGCCCAAACGCTCCTAGGCTCCGCCCACTTGGGAGTAGAGACGCAGTGTGTCTCGCTTCTCTGCACCCTAGCCTTTTTCAAAATACCGTAACTTTCTCAGTTTTTCCCCAATTCTATTGAAAACTTGAGGAATAAATGTGTTTCGTTGAAAGCTTCAAAATGAGCCTAAACACGCCTAGGCTCCGCCCACTTTAGTTTTTTGAGCTTTTTTGACCTTAAAGGCGCATAGAGGGTCCGAAAATCGAAAATCCAAGTATGTAGGTCATGATTATACTTATTTTGAAGCTCTGAACAAACGAAACGCAAAGAGCTACGTTTGGTAGCTATCCGACTAAAAATGTTAGAGATACGGTAGATTTGTAGTTTTCGAGGCACCCAAAAACACAAAAATGATCGTATCTTGGTTACTTTTGAGTATTTCATGACGAAATTTTCATTTTTGTGTTTTTCATGTTTTGAGCTTCAAAATGAGCATAAACACGACTAGTCTCTGTCCACTTTGAGTTCTGACTTTAAAGGCGCATACACGACCCTTAAAGGCGCGAAGTTTGAAATTCAAGCAAAGTAGGTCATGATTATACTCATTTTTAAGCTCTCAGCAAGCCAAATTCAAATTCAACTATTTTCAAAACTTAGAAAACTCCGCCCACCTCAAAATCATCGGGTCTAAACTGTGCAAATAACTCATTCCTCTGGCAATATCCAACGCGAAACGAACCGCTTGACCGTGATCGATAACCACAGCTGAAAATATTTTTTACACTACAAACTACAAATTTTCAACAAAAAACTTACAACTCTGTTCGTGAAGTACATTATACAGGCTTCCAAATGGCATATACTGGGAAATGACCACCAAATTTGGCGGTTGATTGGCCGCGGCCAAAACCGCGCAAATATTTGGATGAGCGAAAATTCGAAGAGCCGGGAATTCGGTTTGGAAGTCGCGAGAAATACGGGCGGTCACTTCTTGGACATTCAGAATACGAGCCACGATGTCGTTGCCTTGCCACTTTCCACGCCATAACTCGCCGGAGTGAGATTCGGCGATCTGGAAAAATATATTTGTAAATTTAGTTTTTCGAGAGCTTCAAAATGAGTATAAACATGACTATGGTTGATGCACTTTGAAATTTGACCCTTAAAGGCGCATACACGACCCTTAAAGGGGTGAAAATTGAAATTCGAAAAAAGTAGATTATGATTATACTCATTCTAAAGCTCTTTACTGTTTAAATTCATTTCTGCAATTTGATTTTTGATATTTTCAAAATTAACCATGTTATAGGCATTTTCAGTTTTTAGTGGTGGGACACAAAGTGTCATAACTTGGTTATTTTTTGAGATATCAAGATTTTCTAACCAGTTTTGATTTTTTCAGCTCAAGAGCTTCAAAATGAGTATAATCATGACCTACTTTCCTGGAATTTCGATTTTTTGACTTTTTTTGGACCCCTGTGCGCCTTTCAAGTCAAATTTCAAAA